TTACAATCTCTGCCTTCCTTGCAGGTAAGTGCCCTCTGAATACCAACTATGAATGTCCTATTTATAGAGATTTCAAATCAACAGAAAATTGAAAAACACTGAAATATAGCTTTTCTTTATAATTCCCTGTCATGAAAAAGAGCAAGCTTATCGTTGAACATCGGCAATTTCAAAATACAGTTTCCAAGCAGATGTGAGAGTTAAGTTTGGATAATCCCCCAAAATGTAAAAGAGCAAAGATATTGGCAAAAACTAAGAAAAAATCTTTTTTGGATTGTCATGTCTACATTTCACACTAGTTATTGGGAATGAATTCCTACAAATGGGTAATGAATTGTACTTCTCTAAGCCAGTTGACTGTGTTAATTCCCTGTATGGGCTGATGTTCTTTCTCCTTGATATAGACTAATTATCCTGAAAATCTATAACTTCCTGCTTCCTCTGATCTTCAGGAGACTGTTTCATGATTCTCTACTCATAATTTATGATGTGAATGTATTAAACCCTGATATTGACTCCACTCCTTTTTATTCTGTGTGTAATACCTGTTGTACCTCACTTGCCTTGCCAATCCCTGGTTTTGGCTTCTCTGACCTGCTTTGACCTTTTGCTACCCAAAACCCAAAACATACTGCACTAGCCTTAATGTCCTGGTCTTTCGCCTGCTTTCTCCCAGATGCATTCATTCTCTGCCCTTCTCTTGCTTCATCTATATCGCAGGAAGCTGATTCCTACCAACTCCATTTCCAAGGCTCATTTGCCCATTCCCAAAAGGAATTAGGACAATGAAAGATAAAAAGATAAAGTAGGAGCACTGGTACAATAAGAAAAAGGAACATATTTCTCCCCTGTATTAGTCCGTTTTCTGTTGCTATAACAGAAACACCTGAGACTGGGTAATTTATAAAGGAAAGAGGTTTATTTGGCTTACGATTTGGGACAGCTGCGTCTGGCATGGGCCCCAGGCTGCTTCTACACATGGCGGAAAGTGGCAGGCAGCCGGCAAGTACAAGCAGATCACATGGAGAGAGATAGCAAGAGAGAGAGAGAGGAGGTGCCAGGGACCTATAAACAATAAGCTCTCGCAGGAACTAATAGAGCGAGAACTCACTCATTACCCCCCCACCCCCCACCCCCCGCAGGAGAGCATTAATCCATTCATAAGGGATCCGCCCCCATGACTCAAATCAGTTTCCAACACTGCCACACTGGGGATCAAATTTCCACATGAGTTTTGGAGGGGACAACACATCCAAACTCCATCATCCCCCTTTTTGATTCAGGCAGCTTCTCCAAAATGGCCACATTTCCTCTGCAATTGCTGTTCTTCCAGCCAGAGCCAGGGCTCTGTTAATCCAGCTTCTTTGTTGGTCTCTCCAGCCCTAGAGATGGATGGAAGAGGCTTCCTGCTATTGCTACTCTCTGGTGTGCCCTCCTCCCTGAGTGTGGCTTTCCAGCTCTTTCAACACCTTTGTAACTAGTTCTTGGTATTAAATTTCCTTAACTGAACTACCAGATTTGGGCTCTGATTTCTGACTGGACCCCATCTCACACACTGAGATGACAACACCTGGCAAGTTGTTAGGCCAAAAGCAAAACAACTATCATAATCATAGAATAATTCATGTAGGTATCAGAAGGTTCACATCCCAAAATGTCCAGTGGAGATGTAAAATAAATAATGAAGATGTTACTGAAAATATACTATATACAAGTACAATAGAGACAGAGTCATTTTGATTTATTTAAAGCCACTTTTATTTAATTCTTATCTTCATGTTTTAGGAATCTCCCATCAATAGGGAAACAATGGGGAATTGAGAAGAGTTAACAAAGAATGATGCCCACACTGAGCCCAAAATAGTTCCAAGGGGATAAGCCTACACAGAAGGAAGAAAGATGTAATCAGCACCCAGAGTAGGTAACAAAACCCATTCAACACTGCTGTTCCTTTGAAGAAACTGCTACTCTCCCATCAGAATCTCTCTCTCTCTCTCTCTCTCTCTCTCTCTCTCTCTCTCTCTGCATTAATCTGACCATCCTGTTTTTGGACTGAGCAAGACTGAACCATGTTGGGACCTAAAACTACATGGGCTCTAAAAGATTTTTAAAAGACAGTTTTCTTTGCATGCATTTCTCTGAGTTCCCTCTTTTCCCATGGTTATTTGGTATTTTTGATCTTGGTTAAAGGGTAAAATGACATTATTTACATGAATGAAAGTTGTTTTCCAGCCATCGTGAAGCTGCAGACTCACACATACTACCCAGACCCTGAGATAAGGACAGGACCAGAAACCGGAGAGGCCTTGGCAAGACCTTACACCTGACTCATAGACACAGATGCCTCATAGCTCACATCTCCTTCTCTCCTGCTTTTCATTTCCTACATTCCATTCCCTCAACACCCTCTTTAAAAACCCTTCAGTAAACCTGAGTCTTTAAGATGGCTTTAGCCATTCTTCAGATTTAACAGAGAGATGGGTTAGACTATCATCTCTCCTCAGGTCACTGGTATTCCTAAATAAAAGCTGACTTCCATTTTTCACCAACATATGACTTTTGATTGGTTTGCTTTTGTCTGTGGGTAGGCAGCCAGACCTGTGAGCTTGGTAACAATTTTGGGGAGCCTCAGCTAGGAGCTGAGTGGCCCCTGTAACACAATGACACAAAAGTAGTCAAGCTTATTGCATACAAGTGTCCAAGACAGATGTCAGTGGCCTAAATGGCCTAGGAGTAACCCATCCTTTGAGACACATTTTGAAAAATCGACTTCTGTGTTCTGTGAAAAGTTGAAGCTGTGGTTTCATGACCTTAGGCCAGAATTCAGTTCATCATGTCTAGTTTCTAAGCAAACCCTTCTCTGGTTTTGTTAAAATGGAGCAGAACTCTGGGCCGAGCCCATGGCACACTCGGGAGAGTGCAGTGCTGGGAGCACAACAGCGCTCCCGCCGCAGGTTCGGATCCTATATGGGGATGGCCGGTGCGCTCACTGGCTGAGCTCAGTACGGCCGGTCTCAAAAAAGAAAAAAGGACAAAAAAAAAAAAAAATGGTTAAAATGGTATATTTTATGTTACCTATATTTGCAATAAAACAAAACAAAAACATTTCTTCTATAATGATTTCCCACAAATCTTTCAAATATCCTAATACAAATCTGACCTCAAGATTTGTGTAGTGCAACAAGTAAATGTAGTGCATGGTGATCGCCTGGATCATTTTGGTATAAGGTACAGCATTAGCCCAACTGCCAAAACTCAAATGGGATCGCAGGATTGGATGATAGTAATTTATCACTGTGAATTTCCTGAGCTTGACGGTTGTATTACGTTTATGTAGGAGAATGCCATTGTTTGTAGGAAATACATACAAAAGTTCAGGGTGATGGGGTGTCAGGTCAGCAACTTACTCTCAATGGTTCAGAGAAAAGAGGGTGGTTTATAACGTACTTGAAACTTTGCTGTAAATTTTTGGTTTTTTTCAAATTTCAAGTATACAAAGTAAAAGTATTAAAAAAGGTTGAATGCTATCACATTGATCTGGTAAAGGTAGAATTGGCCACAGTAAAAGGCACTTATACTGTGATAAAAAATTTAAAACTTAAAAAACAAAAGTAAAATAAAAATTAAAAGTACATGAAAATGGAAAACATTAAACAAATAAGAAAAATAAGATAAAATTTGAAAGGACTTGGTTCAGACGCCGACAGACACTCGCGGCACGGTGTAAGGGGGGACAGGCATGCTGAGGAACGCGTCCCCGCTCCACACCGGACCTCTGCGTGCTGCTTCACAGAGAAGACGACACGCAGAGCGAGCAGGACCGCAGGCCCAGATGCACGCCTGCAGGGACACGCCTGGGGACGAGCAGCAGCCAACCCCGCAGACTCACGTACACGATGGCTTTCCCAATGTGCAGAAATGACTTCTCCACAAACTCCCGGACACTGTGGACTTCGCCAGTAGCGATGACAAAGTCCTCCGGCTCATCATTCTGCAGCATCAGCCACATAGCCTACAGACAGAGAGGCAAATCCACAAGGAAGTCACCCTCAGCAGCCACCTTTATCTATCTATCACATACAGTCCTCCAAAAGGATATAAAGCAAAGATTAGAAACTGATGAAGTTTAATGTATTGTCCGTCCTGGAAATATCTGCATTTTAACAAATCAGAAGGAATTGTACCCATTTCTCATTACAACATAAATGGTAGCAAAACTTGGGGTTATGAGTAAAAACTTGCTAAGCAACTTTTGATTTTCATTGCAGTTAACATAAAAACTGCATTTTTAAATTAATGGCAACTTAAGTTGAGTTCCAGGTTGGCAATACAGTGATAAGCAGTTATAATTCTCTACTGATGATTACTATAAATTTCTTCTTTAACACTAATAAAAGATGCAAACATTCATGTTTACAGTTAAACATGGTAGCTACTGACATATCATCAGTATTGTTTCATAAGTAGTTCAGAGGATGTGAAATTAGCAAATTATTTAAACCGCTTAAACTAACAACAGCTTCCTTTTAGATTCATCCCCTCCAAAAATGCACTTAGGAGCCATTTTGCACCCCATAAAAGATCTACTTTTATTTGCAGAATGTGGGATATGATAGCACAACTATTATATTTAAGAAAAACTTAAATGGACAATAAGAACTAAAAAGTGTGATGATGAAGTGGATTGAATTATGTCCCCCCAAAACTCATTGAAACTTGAATTGTATCCCCCACATTTTATGTATTAGAAACTTTGCCCCCACTGTGATTGTTAAGAGGGTGGGAAATCCTATTATGGTAATTGTAAGGTGGGGCCTTAAAGAGGTGATTGGATTGTAGAACCGTGCA